CTGGGTTAAGGGATATCAAGGAAAAATGTGGCCTCTTCAATAAGACACTTGTATTAGGCAGGGTTCTCCAGAGAGAGCCAACATAGAAAGGAATTTACTATCAGGAATTGGCAAAATCTGCAGAGCCAACTCCTAGTTGTAGTCTGAAGGCTGGCAGGTGGAGAATTCTCTTATTTGGGGAGGATCAGCCTTCTGTTCTGTTTAGGCCTTCAGATGGTTGCATGAGGCCTACCCACATTGGGAAGGGCGATCTGCTTTGCTCAGGTTGCTGATTTAAGTGTTTATGTCACCCAGGATTACCCTCACAGAAACACCCAGAATGACGTTTGATCGAATATCTGGGCACCCCGAGGCCCAGTCAACTTGACATATAACACTCACCCTCACAGCAAGAGTAGGCTCTTGCTACTCAACAGTGCAGCCCGTGGACCAGCAGAATCCCCGTCACCCAGGAGCTCGAGCAGGTGTTGGAGATTCAGACTTAGTGAATCAGAATCTGCATTTTATTTAACAAGATCCCCCAGATGCTCTGAATGCACATTAAAGTTTGAGACACACCCAAACCATGTGTCACAAGCAAATGCCAAATCCTTAAGCGATTGTACGGTTTGAGGCACGTAGTTGTTCCTTCCAACCATTCAATTCGTCAAATGTTTTTTGGATACATCCCTATTTATAAAATATTTTTTGTATGTGCCTGGATATGTGCAAATTTGTTTTACTAAGTGTATGCACGTGCCTGTACCCATGAGCAATTATTAGATACATTTGAATGTATGCATAAGAAGCTTTAAACTGAGCTGAAGGTGAAATAAATACTGTTTTATAATCCATTGCTAATTGTGATGACTTCATGCTATCATTAGCTAATATCTCAAAGCATAATGTATGCTGAGGCTAAAGTTCATTCTTAATAAATAAATCCATGTTTTGAGATTCCTCCTGAGAGTCGTGATTGTTTTTGGTGGGACTCTGTTTCGATCTGAATAGACCTCCACTGTTTTAGCCTTGTAAGAAGCTATTGAAGAGGAGTCCAGTTTATTGTTTTCTTGTGCTTGGATTATCAGTACTGTCTGCAGGCTGTGGTTTGATTCAAGGGGGCATTTTTTAAGCCACATGCCTGCTTTGCGACGGTTAGTGTAGTCGAGTGCAGATAATTTAATCTGTGCAGCCACTTCAATGGCACATGTAACCACAATACAGGCAGCACGTCTCAGTGAAGGTGTTGCTAGTGATCACCTTCCTGGGTCCAAGGTTTCTGATTCCTGCCATCTGACATGGGTGTTCCAAGAGCAAGCGTATTAAATTGATGTCTCATTTTTAATGACTGAAGATCATACAAAGAAGTTCTGACATTTCCTTCTTCCATACCAAATCATTTTATACCATCCCTGGACTGAGCAAGTGACACTTTTGGAGACTCCTGGCCCAGAGTAGGGGCGTCTCTAAGAATCCTCATCTCTCCTACATGCTCTGGGAAGGGCTGCCTTGGGGGAAAGTGTCCTTGGGCTTTCAGGCTGGAACTTCACAAATTTTGGCCCTCAGCAGCAGGCCAGGGCAGCTGCAGATGGCAGTGCTGGCCAAGTTCATGGTGGCCATCCTGATGACTTGTTTTGCAACCCTCTTGAAAGCCTGATTATTTTGGAGTTTGAAGGGGGATTCCTTAGTCCTGTAAAAGCTACAGCTTCTTGCTTGAGGAAAATGCACAAACAAAATTCCATTCCGTTTCATAGGGGTGCAGTGAACCCCTGAAGCTCAGGATGACGAACGTGTTCAGAAGGGGAAAAGCTAGGTTCAGAAGGCCTCTGTCCTGTGCTTCAAAACTTCCTTCCCTGCTTATTGGACAGAGGCAGCAAGGAGCTTGAACTTTGATTTCAAAGACATTCAGATTTGCGTCTCCACTTGATTCCCCCTGCTGATAAGCTGGGTTAAATTGGGCAACCTTTCATTCTATGAAATGAGTTATGATAACCCACATCTGGTAATGCAGCCCTCCTTGTTTGCCCCATTCTAGCTTTATGGCCTTCTCAGCCTTCTTGCTTGTTCTTCAAATACTTGAGCTCTTTCCTGCCCCAGGGCCTTTGCACTTGCTGTTCTTTCAACACAGAATGATCTATCATCTTCTTATGGCCAACTCCTCACTGTTCACGGCTCAACTCAACTGTCATTTCCCCAGGAAGGCTTTTCCTGATCACACCATCTTTTGCCGCCCCCTCTCTCTGTTTATTTGTAAATTTTTTATTTTTTAAAAACAAAATCTTGTGGTTTTTAGTATATTGACAAATTTGTGCAACCAAGATCATCATTTACTTCCAGTCCACTATCTAATTCTAATAATGTTTTCCTCACTCTAAAAAAAAAATTCACATTTCCGTTATCAGTCACTTGCACCCTGCCGCTAGGCCCTGGAAACCTCGAATCTACTTTCTGTCTTTCTGGCTTTGCCTAGTCTGGACACTGGATATAAGTGGAATCATATAATATGTGGCTTTTTGTGTCTGGCTTCTTTCACTGGGAATAAGGTTTTCAGGATTCCTTCGCATTAAAGCAGGTGTCAGTGCTTCATTCCTTTTTATGGCTGAGTAATATTCCACTCCATATGCCACATCTTGTGTATCCATTCATCAGCGGATGGCTGTTGGGGTCGTTTCTACTTTTTGGTTATTGTGAAAAATGCTCTTGATCACATTACTCTTTTTTAAAAAAATATTTATTTGCAGCCCTCGTTTATTTGTTGAACATGTTTACTTTTTACCTTTTCTTGTAGAACACAAGCTCCGGGAAGGCAGTGGCCTTATTTATCTTGTATACATACCACTGTATCCTCAGGGCTTTATACAGGGCATGGCACATTGTAAACAATGAGTATTTGTTGAATGAATGGAAGAAAATGAGAGCTGTTGTTATTCTTTTGTCTCTTTGTGAACTCAATCTTTTCCTGTAATCCATGTGGGGCTCTTGCTGTGCTGACCTGGGTCTCTCTCACATCTGCGACTTCTTCTTCCCATCTGTGGTTCTTGCTCAGTCACCCCATTGCCCGTGATCAACCATTGCCCGAGCTCAGGGCCTCTGTTGCCTTAGTACAGTCTCCAACCCGAATGTGTGGCAGACTCACATGGGGGGGGGTGTGAGAACACAGTTTGCTGGGTCCCACCCTTGGAGTTTTTGACTCAGTAGGTCTGGATGGATCCGAAAATGTGCACCTTCTCAAGTTCCCAGGTGACACTGATGCCGCTGATTGGCAGACCACTGTCTGAGAGTCACTGGGGTAGTCGGGTAAATTTCAGCAGACAGGGTGGGCCTGCTGAGTTCAGAGGTGGTCTGGGTGGGCCTCACCCAAATGGTTCATTTTCCTTCTCTGTCTCCCTTCTTTTTTTTTTTTTTTTTTTTGGAGACAGAGTCTCGCCTTGTTGCCCAGGCTAGAGTGAGTGCCGTGGCGTCAGCCTAGCTCACAGCAACCTCAATCTCCTGGGCTCAAGCGATCCTCCTGCCTCAGCCTCCCGAGTAGCTGGGACTACAGGCATGCGCCACCATGCCCGGCTAATTTTTCTATATATGTTAGTTGGCCAATTAATTTCTTTCTATTTATAGTAGAGACGGGGTCTCGCTCTTGCTCAGGCTGGTGTTGAACTCCTGACCTTGAGCCATCCACCTGCCTCGGCCTCCCAGAGTGCTAGGATTACAGGTGTCTCCCTTATATGGACTCAGAAGGATCTGGTGAGCTAGGAACATTTGGGTACATCCTAAAACATGGCACTACCACTTGGGGGTTTGTGTCCTGAAGAAACTCTTCCCGGTCCAAGAGAAGGCCTGTATGAAGACATTTATTGCACTGTTGTTCATAGGGGCCAGGGAGTTGGTGACCATCTAGATGTCCATAATTACGGAAGTGATAAATAGGAGTGATAGTCCGCTGGTTTGCAATAAACAACCGGATGTTTGTGGCTAGGATCCATTCTGATTGGTCAGTTCCACTGCCATTAATAGTTGCAGGTAGAGACTGTCATCCCTGCAGGTAAGTGAAACACAGAGGTTGCATGTGATGAAATACTTCTCAGCAATTGCAAGGGAGGAAAGAGATTCACACGCAGCAACATTGCTAGTTCCCATGTGTGAAAAAGGAAGAAAGAGAATGAAGTTTATGGTAAAAATACCATTTATGTAAAGGATACACGCATATACCATAATACTTACAATATCATATATCTTTCAAGGCTATTCATATATCTAAATAAAGATATGACAGAGGGTAGATAAATAGAAAAAAGTGTGTTGGTAAGTCTGATCTTAGATGTGATATCTGTTTGACAGATCTCTGCTCTGTTTTATGCATAAACACAGAAATTTATCCCTAAATTGACATCTAATTGTGAAGGTCAATGTTATGGGTTGCATTGTGTCTCCATCCCCACCCCCACCCCCTAGAAAGGCTCTGGTTCAAGTTCCTGTGCCACACCTTGATGGTTGAGCAGGTTAATTCACCTCTCTGAGCCTCTGTTTACTTATCTGCAAAGGAGTAATGATTCTTACAAGGTGTTTTGTGCTGCTTTGTTGAGTTAAGGCATGTAATGCGATTAGCATGGTGTTTGACTTATGGTAAGTACTAGATAAATGTTATCTGTTGTCACTAATATTGGGCCATTGCTGTACATGAAGTGCTGGTATCCAGTGTTAGATAGAGAGAACTAAATCTACGGAGTGGAGACACCTTCTGAGTATTCATCATTTAATCCTCTCAATGACTCCCTGGGGTAGATATCACCGTTATTACACGGCTGTTGTGAGAAGCATGTAAACTAGTCTGTGTGAAGTCCCTCATGCAACCTCTAATTGCAGTGACTTTATTTACTTGTGTTTTCCTCCACCCTACCCCTACCTGGAACGGGGGCTTCCATGGAGTCGGGGGCCTTGCCTTTCGTTCCCAAGCACCGTGCTCAGGGCATAGCAGGTGCCAATCGTTGTTTTTGCAGTGATCAGCTTTAAATTCTTTCTTCTTTCAGGGCCCTTGCGGATGTCATGAGGCCACAGGGCCACTGCAACACTGACCACATGGAGAGAGACCTTAACATTGTTGTCCACGTCCAGCACTACGAGAACATGGACACGAGGACCCCCATAAATAATCTTCGTAAGTAGAGCTGCAGGAATCGTTTCCGGTCCTGCATGGCGCCCGTGCGGTGGTCATATTTCCAGATTTCGTGGTGTGTGTTTGGGTTGGTTAAGAGCTTCTCTTTGTTGATGAGTTAGAAGCCGTATTTCATCTGTCTTGGATATAACTCGGAGTTCAGCATCGCTTCACTTGGTTGATTTCTTTGTTAGATAGCGATCCACTTGGTTGGTTTCTCATGGTTGATTCTTCTTGCACCTAGTAGACTGGTTGGTCCATCTTGATTGATCTATTAACTGATGGCCCTCTTGATTATTTCATCATGCTTGGTTACTTTAGTTAACTAATAGATTATCTGGTTCATCTTAGGTAGTTAATCTGTTAGCCAATGGTCCATTAGTTTATTTCTCTACCTCCTTACATAAACTAGGGGTGACTTCTAGGTTTCATGCTGTATTCAATTAAGAAATACTAGTTCAGAAGAATTATGTATTATTATTTTTTTTATAAAACTAGAGTTCCATAAAAATAACCTATAAAATACTCTGTGTGTATGTATGGGGGTGGATATTGAGTTATAGTCATGTTGGTTTGGGGTTCATATGTGTGATTCAACGGTAGCAAATTTGTTTCCATTGTTATGCCAGGAAAAAAAAAAAAGCTGTATTTGCTATTGTGTATCTATTTTTCTGCAGACAGAGCATGCTTGGAGATCTTGGTAAACTCCCAAAGAGTTTCTTTCCTTTCAAAGGTCTGTATATACAACATACATTATGGAGCTGATGCTCTGACTTAATGAGAGTGGAGGAAAAATAAGATTGTTTAGTTTTTGACGATAATGTACTACCATGGTTATTCCCAGTAATTATGTTTTCAAGTAACCCCCACATTAAAGTAATGTGGAGGGCTTGGTTTAAAATAACAAAAGCCAGAAGATTTAAGGGATGCATTAAGTTGTGGCTGGAGGTTCCTGAAAACAGAGACGGTTCTGGTGCTGCTCATTTTTACAGTCTGGGTCGCCTTTGCTCACTAGGAGGTGCATGGGTGTTTTATTTGCTGAGTCATAGTTTTGGATAGTCTGGTTGCAAATTTTTATGCTCAATGGGGAGAGGAAGACGTCTGTGCAAGTTAACATAGGCCGCACAAATTCTCGGATTCCTCCTTGTGATGGTTTCTCATGGTTTTGGAAAAGGCTGCAGTGCATTAGCAAAGTCATCGTCAACGTTTACATGGTTAGAAAAAGGAGCCAACAAACAGAATGCCTTAGGTTTAAATGTATTAAATAATTGGACATTATTCAGTTGTGAACCGGATCATAAAATGGCGTGAGAAATAGCCACACTCTACCAAAAGACACTGGCCGTTGGAAGAAACAAGCCCCAAAAGATACAGAAAATGGCACCAACTCAGATGTAGGAATTGCCGTATCTGATTCGGGCTTTGATGGGAATGAGCACGTTCTCTTTCAGTTCGCACTGGGAAATAAAGTCGAACTTAGCTGTATGTTTGGTTCCCAAACATCATATATGAGTGAATACGATCACAGAGCCGAGAAACTGAAATGGTATTGAGTCCCTGGCTAGAAAAGGTGATTGTTGGCAGGTTTTTCATTTGAAGTTTCAATCGCTAAGATGATTTTGAATCAGCACTCAAATGGAATAACAAACTCATCGAAGTCACCCAAGTTTCATCATTCCATCGGGCTAAAGGGCAGGGAACATTAACGAATGTTACTTACATAAGGGATTTTCGTTTAAAATTGCACTGAAAATAAATTACTGCTCAGAGATGGGTATAAGAAAATTGTATATTCAGAAGAATGGATGATTTTGGGGAGTTCATTGACAGCTTAGGACTAGGTGAGTGATATTAATCAGTTATTAAAGGTTTAAGAAACCAGGCAATGCCCAGAACCCATTTTGACTGATGGAGAAGTAGGAGAGAAAGAATCCAGTCTGATAAATGGAAAATTAAGACCAGTCCTTCGTTCCACAATTAGAATGCACCTGCTGAATATAAAACCCTTGTCTGGACATTATGGGAGCCAAAACGACTTATCATTACAAAACATGGAAAGAAAGATGCATCTGTTTGTGACACACCAAGAAGAGTACATCATGCCATTTTTAGTTTGTTCTTCACTAAGCATCCAAGTTTCCAAATATGCCTGGAGATTCAGTAGTCTCAACTTAAATGTCATTTTCATGGCTATTCAATCACCCACTTAAGGGAACAATAATCTCCATCTATTTCTCTCTCCCTATCTACTTAGTATTAATAATGCTAGGTCACTTTCTGACCTCTTCCTTATGCTTTGGTCAAATGCTAAGAGAATCAATAGCCATTGTGGAAATCTAGGTATTTGGAAGGAGGGGGGAGTAGAGGACTTGGGTGAAGGAAAACAGGAAGGAAAGTGTTTCGATATGGGCAAATTTTGGTCAACCTTTCTATGTGAATTTCCTGGGGTTCATTTTTCCTGTGATATTCATGACTTGCCTTTTTATCTAAAGATGAATTTTTTCCCCAGCTGATGTTGTTCATATTCTTTCCAGGCATTCAGTGATATTGCCTAAAAATATTTAGTCTGATAATCAAAAGGGCCTCAACCTCTTTGATTAACAGGATGTAGATTCCTATGAGATAGTGATTTTCTGCAAATACTCCTCAGCTTCCATATAATTATAGTTTGTTTTTGAAGGCACATTTTGTCCTTAAATGCTGTGAACATACTGCCTCCCCTACCCCAACTTCCCTTCCTGCCAATGACACCCCCCACCCATTTTGGGAGTGCAGAGTAAATATAGGCTCCATTTGGTCTTTTTAAGGATGGGAAATGTGAGTGAGGGGCTGTGCATGCAACCTGGATCCAACTTTCTCAATTCATTTGCGTTCACAGCACATTTTTATTTTAAATGAAATTTTTCTTTCAGAGTACTTTTTTATTTACAGAAAAATTACAAAGATAGTACACAGAGTTCTATATATTCCTCACCCACTTTCCCCTAATGTTAACATTTTACATCACCATGGTACATTTGTCAAAACTAAGAAATCAACATGAGTACATTCCCTTTGGCTAAACCACTAATGCTGTTTGAATTTTACTAGTTTCTTTGCTAATATCCCTTTTCTGTTCCAGAATCCGATCCAGGACACCTTGCTGTCTTTAGCATGGCACACTTTGATGGTAGAGTTTTGGTTGTGCAATATTGTATAATGATGTGATAAAGACAGAAAACAACATGAAATAAGCCAGCCGCAATTACAAAACCTTTATTGCCACAGTATCAAATGTGTCTCCCAGTGTCTATAAAAACATCCAAATAAAATTATTCACGGCGGGCCAATGTTGGGTTGGAACCGGTTGCTGGCCTGACTGTGCTCTTGCACGTATCTGTGGGACAGAGCCCTGTTGTGTTCCACGCATGCATCCAACCCCTCTTTGGAATCGGGTTGATGTCACACAATTTATTTTACTGTATAATCCGAGCAAGTGAGATCTCACCCCAAACAGGGGAAATGATGACTTGATGTTCTAGGCCACAGAATCCATCTGAAAGAGCAGGCTTCTATTCCAGCCCCACCACCTTCCTACTGCCCCAGAATGATGCCCAAGTGGATTTATAAGGAACCAAAAAAGCCGACCAATGGTTTAGTTTCTGAAGAGGCTAAACAGCTCATATCTAGCACCATTCATTTGTCCACATTTACCAAGGCACCTGGGATATTCCACACTTAACTTTTGGAAATATTGGCAAGAATATTCCCAAATATTTAAAAAAATTGGGGGGAATTTCCTAGCCAGGGCAGGCAAAAAGGTAAATATAGATAAAGGAGTATATAAGAGTAAAAACATATGTAAGAGTATGCTATTAGCAATGACTTATACATATAACATTATAAACCCCCAACACATTGAATCTTTAAAACATTATTAGAGTCATACTATTAGTTTCACTATGATAAGGATGGGGAAACTGAGGCACAGAGAGGTTAAGTGGCTTGTCTAAAGTTCATCTAACTACTAAACGGTGAAGCTGGGATTTAAACTGAGCCAGTCAGCCCCCAAGGTCTGTGATTTTAACCACTATGCTGTATTACCTGTCCTTGTGGTGCGCAGTATACTTGAAAATATACACAATAAAATTGTTAGAGAAATTAGAAAAGGTGTCAATGACATTGTAATTTATACATGGAGAAGCAGGATTCAAACCCAGGTCTACCTGACTCCACAGCCTGGACATTATTAGATGGACGTGGGTTATCTCATGGTGAGTATTTGGGTCTCAGGAAGGGTGGGGGTCAGGACCACTGCAGGGGCTTCAGTTGGCAGAATGGGTAAGGCATCTTTCCCGTCCTCAATGTGCTCAGTCACTGTGAGCACTTAGTTCAAATTATTCAGAGGGAGAATATGATCAGTTTCCAACCACCAGTGGTCTGGCTCCCCCTGGAGCAGTTGTCTGACCTTGGTTCAAGCAGTTGGGTGGGGTAGACTGAATTTTAGAATTCTTTCTTAGGATTGTAGTGGGGCCAAGAAAGGTTTGTAAGGAAAGGAAAGGCGAGGTAGGTTACTGTTTTAATATTCCTTGGGGGTAGGCAGGGATACATTTGTTTTATTCACTCCTGTATCTCCAGTGCCTAGAAAATGTACAGTGTTAAATAGATAGTTGTTGAATGCATGCATGCATGAATCTTTAGCACAAGCTTGATAAGAAGCCTGGTGGAACCCTGGAATTCTTGGGGTTTTGAATTTTGAGAGAACTTGGCTAATTCCATCTCATGTGAAGGTTTAATTCTCTTATATGAAGTTATAGCTATCAACACTCTTGTTCCTGAAAACTAAATGTTCTTTTCCACAGTTGGGCAGACTAGTTGTTCCATCTGAAGATCTATGACTCAGGCACATGGGTTAGTAAATTATGTAGTTAATAAGAGTGAGGGAGTGATCTATACTGGATCAGCTAGGAAACATTTGTAGGTTCAGTGTAGTAGCCTGAAATGAGTTTGAGTGTTTTAGATCA